TGAGCTACATGTCAAACCTTGTAATGGTAATTTTATCATTACGTTATATTTAGCAAGCTATATGGCAAACCTTGTAATGGTAATTTTATCATTACATTATATTTAGCGAGCTACATGTCAAACCTTGTAATGGTAATTTTATCATTACGTTATATTTAGCGAGCTACATGTCAAACCTTGTAATGGTAATTTTATCATTACGTTATATTTAGTGAGCTACATGTCAAACCTTGTAATGGTAATTTTATCATTATGTTATATTTAGCGAGCTACATGTCAAACCTTGTAATGGTTGACCAACTATTTCATCCCTTTAGTGGAAAACACATCATTAGAAAACTCAGAGGATAAATAATAATTTCCCATAAACTTCTCTACATTAGTTGTGTTTGGTTTGGTTTTTAATTTTTTCATCATGATTTAATACTTACAGCTATTTAAACATAAAATTTATAAAATATAAGTTTTATTAAAGTCCTGATCCGTTTCATTATCAGACTTGAGTATCATCATCTGTTATTAAATGCCAGAACAATATGTCTGTGTTAGATTATGTCTTAATCCCGTGGGACTTGGTGAGGATCAGTTTCCTCTTTCTCGTAGAATGTGCATGAGAATCAACCTTTTAAACTGTTTTTCTATGACCCGAGAAAAGCAGAAACCAAGATTTTAATCTAGAAAAATAAAGCTAATGCTTAAGAAATACACATCTCTTGATAAGGTGTAGTTAAAGGTAGATGTTTTCTGTGTTGTTAGCAACAAATTTGGATATGGTGAAAGTAATTTCCTAACCTTTTACGCACTTTTGTTGTTGTTTTAATTACATTTTGAAAATGTTTATGGAAACGCTTGTTCAAGTCACGATACTTATGTTATTCGTGAGTGTGTCATCATGATCTCTTTTCGGAGAAGAATTTGTATGTAGTTTATGTATTTCATTTTGAAATTGTTTTAGACTTTATCTTTGTGTTTGCAGAAGCAATCGACTCTGCTGTCCACTTGGAAAACCTAAGTGACTTCTCCAAGGTAAAAACTTTATTTAGTTTCAAATTAAATCATTATATTTGCCATTTTTTGTTCTGATGTTTATGAATTGTAGCTTTAAATTCTCTAACACATTCTGGACCTGAGGTATATCACCAGTTTGTTACACATTCTGGACCTGAAGTATATCACCAGTTTGTTTCACATTCTGGACCTGAGGTATATCACCAGTTTGTTTCACATTCTGGACCTGAGGTATATCACCAGTTTGTTACACATTCTGGACCTGAGGCATATCACCAGTTTTTTACACATTCTGGACCTGAGGTATATCACCAGTTTGTTACACATTCTGGACCTGAGGCATATCACCAGTTTTTTACACATTCTGGACATGAGATATATCACCAGTTTGTTACACATTCTGGACCTGGGGTATATCACCAGTTTGTTACACATTCTGGACATGAGGTATATCACCAGTTTGTTTCTTCTCTAATAGTGGAAAATATGTGAAACTTTCGAACAAATAGTATCTGGTTTATGTTTAAGACAATTCTTATTTTAAATTATTTTACACCAAGTCTGAGACTGAATTTGGGGGACTGCATGCACTACAGAGAGGTGGAGGACTGGGTGGGCTTCAGAGAGGTTTCACCAAACTAGAACCCCCCAAAAATAATATTTGATCTGTTAATCTAAAAAACAACAACACTTTACTGCCAAAAGAACTCATCTTCCACTAGTGTTTGATCACAAAGATTAGGTTTATGCTAGACTGTGTTCCTCTCACACAAAATGGTAAAAATGTTCATGTTCAGACAGTATCACAATTAGCCATCTCACAAAGCTTTGTTGATCTTTCCTTGATCATCTCTTTCAACAGAACTTGTGAAAACTGTGGAGAAAAATGTTTTTTATAGGGTTGAAGAACCAGATTTTGTATTGCACAACATGTGTGACTACTACAGTGTTTTGTGTGGGATTTTGGATTGGGTTTTTAGGTTTTAGTTTGGCCTTGCTGGTGGATAATACAGATTTCAGGTACCATAAGGAGCTCAAATCTCTATTCAGGAGTAAAGAAAAAGAGTATTGATAAGCTTTGTTTGGGAATCAACCTGCCAAACATATCTCCCTGGTTTGTAGACTGCATGCTAATATTTCGTTTATTTTTAAGATGTTAAATTTCTAAGTTTTGTTTGAGAAATTGTTTTGTAAAAACAATAGAAATACTTTCTTTTAATTTAGCTTATAATTTCAACTTCTTTAATTAATGACAAAAAAGTTTTATACTTTGCAAATTAAATTAGTCACCATTAGCTTTGTTGGGTTAGGCATTGAAGTTTTTATATAAATAATATTCTTGGTTGGAATATAATAATTATAGTTTGTTTTCAAGAACTAATTTATTATTTATATGCAATGTTTGTGATAAATGTAACAGAAATATTCAGTGTTAAAGGATTTCAGTTACTGAATACTTTGTTAATTACAGCACTCACTAAAGGTAACTGAACTTACCTGACATCTTTTCACAGAAGAAAGTTTTGTAGCTTTCAAACAGATTATAGTTTAATGTGTCATTATTTCAGAAATGAAGAGAACATCAAAAAAACTATAAAAATAAATTCACAGATATTTAGATCGTTTGTAAATGCTGTAAACTTCACAAAAGAATATTTTGTTCACAACTTTGGGAGCTGTGGGTTGCCAGACTTAACAGATCATAAATTATTTCTGAAACCACTTATTAGCTCTAGATTGAGATAGGTAGGTTAATGATCTCTTCTAGTTGATCATTGTTAGCTGTTATCTCTAGTTATTTTCAAAGCTGAGCTTAATTAATAACTATTTCGATCACGTGCTATAACATCAAAGGATGAAAATGAAGAGTTGTAATAATAAAACTATTGATTCAGAATGAAAATCATGTGAAAAACAAGGTACAAGCCATTATAATTTCAAGGAATGATAGTTTCTTAGCAAGAATAAACCTATTTTTTGTAATGGTCGAAATATTCAAAACACTAGTTAATAAATGTAATGTTTCCAAGTGAGGGTCTTTTGATCTGTACAGTAATGAAAGTTGGAACATTTCTTAAATATTTGTTTATCAATTATACTAAATAAATGTTACAAAATGATAAAATAACAATTTAATACATTTTTGACCAAAAATCTCTGTTAATAGTTAAAATATATTTGTTACTTAGATTTTGAAGTTAATTATGCAGGTGTGTACTTGTGACCTGAAATAAGTTTAAACAACTTTATCAAAAATGGTGCTGTCAAAAGTGTGTGTGTTCTTTTTATTACGTCAATATGAAACTGTAGAATAAGTTACATGTAATCTGAAACATTTTTCTCGACTTTATATTTTTCTTTACAAAAATTATCGAAATTATTTTATTTAAAAACTAATGAAAACTATTGGAAGGGTCTATTATTCTAACTAGTCGTCAAACTATTGATGTATGCTGAACTGTAAAAGTGTGATATCTACATGCAAGCACTTAATTTGGTTGAATAACTGAATTCATAGATAGTACATAAACTTATTTTAATACATATAGAAAGACTTCTATTTCTTGATAGTAGTAACGATCTTATCAAATATAATTAGCTTTGGGGCTTCACCAAGTTTTTCTTATTGTTTCAAACAGTATAGGATTTGTCAGTGTTGCATTTCCGTAATGTTCCTAGACAATGAAGTTTTGTTGAAACATCTTTCTTTATTTTTAGATATATTTTTGATTGATTTTTAATCAGACTAACAATTTTCACAATTTTTGTTGTTGGGTTTGTCCTGAATTTAAAAATTAGAACACTGTTTTAAATAGAAGAGTATTGTCTTTAAATAGTAAATTCTTTGTGTGGTTCATTAGGAATGCTACAAGTTTGTAAAAAACAAAACCAGTCATATTATGGTCTCATCACATGACCAGCTACCAGCCTTTAAAATGGTAAGTATTCATGACCTTCATCGTTATTACTCCTTATGGTCTATAGAAAACTAGCAGTTCATTACAGAAGAGTATTTTATAAAGTTTCAGCATTGCACTAACTTATTATCTGTTGTTGATATAAGTTACTGGAAAACTAATAAAGTAGAAACCTATATTTAAAACAATTGTTTATTACTATACTAAACTAAGTAATGATGGATATTAGAATGGAAATATGTAAGTTTTAGATTAATAGGGCTGTTTAATTATTATATAAATGAAATAATGATGGATATTAGAATGGAAATATGTAAGTTTTAGATTAATGGGCTGTTTAATTATTATATAAATGAAATAATGATGGATATTAGAATGGAAATATGTAAGTTTTAGATTAATGGGCTGTTTAATTATTATATAAATGAAATAATGATGGATATTAGAATGGAAATATGTAAGTTTTAGATTAATGGGGCTGGTTAATTATTATATAAATGAAATAATGATGGATATTAGAATGGAACTATGTAAGTTTTATGTATATAGGCTGTTTAATTACTGTGCTAAATAGAGTAATGATATGTTATTATTAACATATTAAAGAACATGAATGTATTTTTGTACACCTAGTGGTATAAGTAGTATGAAAGGGCATGAACGTATTTTTGTTATAAGTAGTATGAAAGGGCATGAATGTATTTTTGTACACCTAGTGGTATAAGTAGTATGAAAGGGCATGATTGTATTTTTGTACACCTAGTGGTATAAGTAATATGAAAGGGCATTAATGTATTTTTGTACACCTAATGGTATAAGTAGTATGAAAGAACATGAATGTATTTTTGTACACCTAGTGGTATAAGTAGTATGAAAGAACATGAATGTATTTTTCTACACCTAGTGGTATAAGTAGTATGAAAGAATATGAATGTATTTTTGTATGCCTAGTGGTATAAGTAGTATGAAAGGGCATGAATGTATACCTTGTGTTATATCTAGAATGTGACATTATCTGTACCAAACAATTAGACATTAAAATACTTTCTCGTAGTAGTTTTTTGTTCATCTTATTTAAATTTTGATTGTTCTCTTCTTAAGACTAACTTACTGGAGTAGCTCATGGACAATGTTCTGTTCACAGAGTGCAGAAACAGAGGAGGATTTCTTGGTGTTAGCGAACAGTGACATAGCCCAGCTGTGTGGAGCTCTTATTGTCTTGTGGCAACAGTTCTTGGAAGTTGTAGTACACCAGGAGAGAATTCAACAGCATCTTGCTCTGGAACACCATCAGCAACGAGTCAGGCATTTTTCTGAGGCTTTTTTTATCATTGAGAAACCACGGAATTCAGCTCTGATGTGTGATGATTCTAGGTATGTGTATATAATAGTAACAAGAACCTGATCGCTAGGTAATTAACTTGTTGGATATCTTTGCTCTCATCTTTTCCAGTGAAGCACAGAAGTACTGTAGTCAAAAATGTGACTAAAGCTTGGAAATTAGTGGAAATTGATTAACCATCAGTCTAATTGATCAGTTACATTCAACTAATCTGTTATGGTCACAGTATGGCTAGAAAAATATGGAAAAAAGCTTAGAGATGTATCTATCTTGACCAAAAGATTAGCCTGCAAGATGATAGTCAAAGATAGTTCATACTTTCTTTTAGTCTGATCTGGCTATAAGATTGGCTTCTATTTATTGATATATGAAAAGTGTATTTTTTGTATAAAAGCACCCCACATTTGGTTTCATGCTAATATTCTGCTTGAAGCACATAGTCAGATTTCGTTGAGTGATTAGCATACCAAAAAAATGCTCCAAGCAGTGGGGCCATTGGTGTGACAGTCAAATTCCACAGCAGACCAAGTGTTGGTAGTGTGTGGTGTTAACCCTCGTTACAGGTAGGTCAAAGTGGGTGTGTCATGACGTTTTACAGAGTTACATTCAAAGTTTTATTAAACTACTTTATTTTCAATATATATGAATAAACCTGGCATCAAAATGTAGTTAATATATCAAATTTTAATATGATATGTTTTAATTTCTTAATTTTAAAGTGAAATGTTCAAATAAATCCACTATCTTCCCTTGTATGAGAATCGTGACATTTGTTCTCTCGGTCCTACTCCTCCTCTAATTTATTTATTGTCTTTGAAGTACAGAATTTAATGTAAATTACTCGTAATATAGCTATCACTAAGGCAATGTCTAATCTTTCTAGCCTACAATCTACTTTGTTTACAAAGACATATACTATAAAGTCAAACCCACTTGCCACGCCCACTTATCGTATCTCCTCTCGCAATTGTGAATAATTCTCTGACGTTTTTATATTGTATCATTCATTACAAATAAAGACAAAGTTTTAATCTGTCAAATGATGTATAATGTTAAGTTATGTTCAATACAAAGTATTGTCAGTTTTGTCTTCAGTTTGAAAGTTTATTTCGTGATGTTCAGATCGAGTAGCTGATGGAATTATTTTAAGCTTATCTTGTCTTAGTTAGGAAGCCAGTTAAATTATAATACTTATAGGACATTATGTGCTTTGTGCATGTTATTATTCCATGTTTTTAGATGTATTATTAAAGTAAACAAAAATTATTTAATTTACTAGTACCGTCATTATAAAAAAATAGTAGGGTTAAATTTCATTGACAACTAACAGCAAAAAAATTAGACTTTGAACGTAAATACTGTATTTCTTGTTTTTCTTCCAAATTTTTTATTTGTTATAAAAGTAAGTAAAGTGTAAAAATTATAAACTTATTAGATTAGATAAGTTTATATCAGATAAGATAATGACAAATGATGATTCTGAAAGAGGTCGCAATTATATCATTCAATTATTCACTGAATGATTTACAACTTGTGTAGCAGGATTATTAGTTAGACACGTTTAAAGAGCAATAAAACAATAAGATTAAGTACAAATAGATGTAAAATGTTATGAGCCTTAAGCTATTTAGGATAAACAACTTTAGTTTCCAGTTTCAAAATTACCAGTCACTCTAGAATGGTAATTTAGATTTATTTCATATTTTTGTATGGTAGTTACAGGATCGGTCAAATTGACCAAGTCTATATAGAGTTAGGATACAGAAAATAACAGATGAAATATAAAATTTAATTGAAAAAAAAAATTCAACATTTGTTTAGGAGGTTTTAGAGGTTATACAAATGAAATTTGAAAGTTTTCAGATGAAGAAAAGTATTTTTAATCTTAACATGAAAATAATTTTGCACTTGGAGCAGTCAACTGACTACTTATATTCATGGACAATACTTATTTAATAAGTCTTAATATTTTTTGTATCTTCATGAAATTTGGCAAGCTTTCAGTAAACATTACAAATCTTTTGTACACAAAAAAATCAAAGTTATAGTATGTATACTCTCATGATTACATGATCGTGTAATCCACCAACCCCGTAGGAAAAGAATTAACTAGCTGCCTTCTCTGTAGTTTGTCAGCTTAACTCTTTGACTGTGATCTACTTACATGAAACTCGTGGATGAAATTCTTATAAATTTGAGATGAAAGGTCCTATACGTATGTAGTTTTTTAAATATGCTATTTAATTTTGGTTTTTTCTCAAGCAATGTTTTTCTCATGACTTTTTTTTTTGTCATTTT